GCCCGCTACGATGGTGCAGTGCCCGAGCCCCGGCCGGGCTCTGTGAGTGCCTGGGGGTGCAGAGCAGGGGAGGCACGGGGCAGCCACATTCCCCTCTGACCCCTGTCTCCCCTGAGCAGTGCATCACGGACCACTCCCGCAGGAAGGGCTACAACTCCTCGCAGGACTTGCCCAACAGCGTCCTGGACTTTGTCAAGCTGCACCCGCTCATGTTTGAGGAGGTGAAGCCGGCTGGCGGGGAGCCGCTCCTGGTGAAGAAGAGCGTGGCGTACAGCCGGCTGGCCGTGGACAGAGTGCAGGCCCTGGACGGCCGCTCCTACGATGTGCTCTTCATGGGGACAGGTGAGTGTGGGGTAAGTTTGCCAGGTCTGTGCTGGACAGGGGGCACACCACACATTCCCTCCTGAACCCCCTGCTCTGCTCTCCAGGAGACGGCTGGATTCACAAGGCTGTGGTGGTGGGCTCTGGCATCCACATCGTGGAGGAGGTGCAGGTGTTTAGGGACCTGCAGCCCGTGGAGAGCCTGGTGATCTCTCACGCCCAGGTGAGGGAGAAGTAGGGGGACATCACACATGGGGCATGCTTGTGCTGTGAAGCTGCCATTGGGCTCTTTGGGGGGGTGGGGGGATGTGACTCCTGGGTCAGCCCAGCTTGGGATATGTGCTGGAGTGCAGCAGGGCAGCCTGGCCTCTTTGCCAGCTGCACCCATCGTCACTGACTGTGACCTGGGGGCCCTCTCGTGCATCCCCATCAAGGGAGAGCTGTGCTGGGGGGATCTCTGGGCACCATGGGGCACCCCATAGCCCAGCAGCATCATGCCAGATCAATGCTGAGCCAGTCTTTTCCCCATCAGAGAAGCCTGTATGTGGGGGCAGCCAGCGGGATCGTGCAGGTGCCCCTGGCCACCTGTGCCAGGTACACCTCCTGCTACGACTGCATCCTTGCCCGGGACCCCTACTGTGCCTGGGATGGCAGGGCCTGCCGTGCTACCGCCACCACGGACAGGTAGGGATGGGTGCCTGTCCCCAGCTGGGTCCCCACAAGCCTTCCACCTGCCCCATCCTATGCTACTGTGCATCACCCCATGGCACAGTCGCCCCAGAGCCACCCCCAAAGGTCTGGCTAGTGTCTGGCGGTAGGTCTCCTGGTGGCCATGACCTCGTAAAGGGTGGGCTCAGCCAAGGCTGTATGGCTGAAGCTCCCCCTGCCTTGCAGCACAGGGCTGGTGCAGGATATTCAGAGTGGCAACAAGGGATGCCGGAGCATCTCTGGGCGGGGTGAGTCTGCCACCCCTTGGGACCATGGGGATGCTGGTGTCCAGCGTCCCTTAGGGTGGCCAGGACAGGTGTGAGGTGGTGTGTGTCCCCACAGGCTCCCTGCCATGGAGGAACCGGACAGTGCTGCAGGGGGACGATGTGCTGCTACCCTGCGACCAGCGCTCCAACCTGGCCCGAGCCGTGTGGCTGCTGAATGGCAGTGAGGTGCTGGGCATGGGGCAGGACCGGCTGCGCGTGGGGGTGGATGGGCTGCTGGTGACAGACACGCTGCCCCAGCACAGTGGCGAGTACCGCTGCTACGGGGAGGAGCGGGGTCTCCAGACACTACTGGCTGCCTACAGCCTCACTGTGCTGCCCGAGATACTCCGCAGCCCTACGGCTGCCACCCCACCCCACGCTGCCAGCCAGGCAGCCAACGACATGAAGGTGGCTTACATCTCTGCCATTGTCACCTTGGTGGTGCTCTGCGCCGTGCTCAGCACTGTCCTCCTCTACATGTCCTGCCTGGAGAAGCGCAAGGGCAAGTACGTGCTGGGGGAGCCACGGCCATCCAGCGTGGAGCTGCAGACCGTCTCAGCCAACTGCCTGCGCAAGGGCCACCGGGAGGAGGAGGAGGAGGAAGAGCTCACCTACCCTGATGGCTGCCTGCGGATCATCCCTGGTGAGGCGCCCACGGCTGCCACTTCCCCAGTCAAGGAGCTGCCGGTTGCCGTGCCCCCGCTGCCGCCCCCGCTGCCGGCTGAGCTCACCAACGGCATGGGGGCTCTGCCCAACGTCCTCCGCAAGATGAACGGCAACAGCTACATGCTGCTACAGCAGCAGGAGGAGCCTCTGGTCTCCCCACTCTACAGTGCATCCTTCACTGAGGAGCTCAGCAAGATTCTGGAGAAGCGGAAACACACGCAGCTGGTGGAGAAGCTGGACGAGAGCTCCGTGTAGGGGCTGGGGAGGGGGGTTCTGCCAGCGGAACCCTCCTCCCCTTCAGCCCCTTCTCCCACCCCTTTGCCAGCAGTGTTACAAGACTCAGGCGAAACTACCTCCTGGATGGCAGAGCCGGGCCGAGCCCGGGCTCAGCCGTTCCTTTGGCTTTTACTCACTTTTGAGACTTGCTGTACAGAAAAAAAAAAAGAAATAAGCATCTATTTAAATTTAGAAGCTCTATTTATGTATAAAAACCCACTGATGGTGGCCACAAGCTGGGGATAGGAGCTGGCACCTGGCTGAAAATGGACACCGGGGGGAGGGCGAGTTTCTGTCTCTTCATCCAGGCATGAAAGAGACAGTGTCATGGACGTGTGGACTCGGCTGGCCCTGCTGGGTGTCCCTCGGCACATGGGAGCCGGACAGCTGCTGAGAGGTGGGTGAGGAGCAGGGAGGGGAGCTGGGGGCTGACGCACTGTGCCTGTGCCTCTTGCAGGGTGCAGGACCCCTTCCCGGCATGGGGCTGGTGGGTTTCTCCTGCTGCCCGCTCTCAGGCAGGAGAGGGGCAGCGGACACATCTCACATTGTGGGGACTGGCCTCGGTGGCTGCCAGCCTCTGCCCTCTCTCCCACGTCTGCCCCCCAGGGTTTCCTCTCTGGGAGAGGATGGTTTGGCAAGGAACAGAAACATGTCGAGGAGCTCACTACCCGAATGCATTGGAGCAGCTGGTGAAGGGGTGTGTGCCCCCTGCAAAGAGGCCACAGGTGAAATATCTGGCTGGATGCCCTGGGGAGGTGGCATCCCCAGGCCCTCTGATCCTGACAGGGCTCTGCCCCCTCTCCCCAGGGCGCTGGATGCAGCAGCAGGCAGCAAGATGCACTAGCAGCAGGACTGGCAGCCACCACAGTGCCCTACAGCATGACAAGGGACCAGCGCAGCACTCACATCCCCTTGATGTCCGCAGTGGCCCTGTAGCCCTAAGCAAGTGTTTCTGCCCTCCTGTGTGGTGCCGTTGGAGAACTGGGGTTCGAGCACAGCCCTGTCACCTGTGAGACAATCCATGGGTGGGGAAATGTCCTCATACAGTGAGGAAGAAGAGCCCTGGACAAGGGTCTGCTGGTCTGCCTCCTTCTGGAGCATCCTCCTCTTCATGGCACTCTCCAGGTCCCTAAATTCCCCCAGCTATTTCTGCTCCTGCCACCTCCTGGGGGAACCTGAGAGACTGGTGACAAAAACATTTCATATGGTGACACAGGAGAAGCTGTGGAAGGACAGACTTGCTGGGGTGTGTGTCCTCCCATGTGTTCCTTGCTGGCACCTCCATGATCAGGACATTGCCAGCTCAGCCCTGCAGGGGAGACAAGAAGGGAGTGGCAGCCCCTGGGGTCCCTCATGGGCTACAGCCCAGGCCTCCTATTTCAGGAGAGCGATGCTTAATGGAAAAGGCAAGAGTTGCACACCTGGCTTCTCCCATCCTGCCCCCACCGTTTTTGCTGCAAGAAGGGGACATGAGCCACCGCCAAGGACCACCCCCACCCTCCAAGGAGGGGTATCACCCTGTGTCTGACACCCCTTGTGCACAGCTCCACATCCCCTTGGCAATAAACATGGCTCTGTCTGGACATGGTGTGGCGGTGTCTCTCTGCAGGCAAGAGAGATGGATGCAGACGCATGGGGTTGTGGGTGGAAGAGGCTTTATTGGGGCTGCAGGCGTGGGCCCTGGACAGTGAGGATGGAGGGTTTGTTGGTGAGGGGGTGCCACTGGCCCTGGACACTGGGATTGTCGGTGTGGAAGGGCTTGCGGATGCGGATGATATCCAGGCCGGACTGGTTGGCCAGCTTGGTGACCAGCTGCACGATCTCCTCACTTGTCTTGCTGGCGATGAGCTCCTCCCGGACTGTCCCATTCACTGCAGCAGAGCAAGGGGGTCAGGCCAGGATCCCCCCACTCCACAGGCCTCCGGGGGGCAGCTGCTGATCCCCCATCCCACAGCAGCTGCCTCAGCACCATCTGCGCCAGGCAGAGGTTGTGCAGAGCCAGGGCATGGCAGGGACAGCCCCATCCCCATTCTCTCCCCGTGTCCCCCAGCACTCACAGTACTCAGCCCGCACCAGCGGGGCCGTGCCCGAGCGGGGGCTCACGTAGAGAACAACATCGGGGTGCTGCCGAGCAAAGTCCTGCGCCGCCTCCTCTACGAATTGCCTGGGGAACATGGGGACCGTGAGCCCCAGCCAGGCCAGAGATGGGGAAGGGTTGTAGCCCCCACCCCAGGGCGAAGGTCACAGGTGGGGTCACCCTCCCCATACCCTGCCCACGGGAGGGGTCACAGTGCAGAAGTTGGGGTGATGCCCCCTGTGCCAGGGCGGAGCTCAGGGGTCACCGGTGCCGCCTTCCAGCTCCAGTCCCAGTCCCGTCTCGCAGGAGGTTCGGGGTCCCACTCCGCCGCTCCACTGTCGTCATGGGGCTGCAGCCCCGTGCCCTCCCCACGCTGGCAGGGCAGGGGGAAGACACCCCTCCCTCAGTTAAGGGGCTACCCGGCTCCCCACTCCCAACCCGGGAAGGCGGATGGGCGCCTCCGGCGGTACCTGGCGCCGCGGGCGTCGGCTGCGGTGGGGCTGAAGAGGAACTGCAGGCGCTGGAGCTGCCGCACGTACCGACCCACGCCGTTGTGCAGGACGGCGGTGAGGAACCGGCTGGGCGACCCGCGGCCCGTCATGATGGCTCCGCGCTCACCCGGAGCCGGAACCGCCGGAGGGGCGGGATCAGGAACAGCCGCCCCCGCCCCGCCGGGAAGTGACGCTGGGGGAGCGGGATCAGGAATGGCGGTGTCCGTGTGGCCCCACGTGGGGGCGGCGGCCTGAGCGGCTCTGCGGGGCCGGGGGCCGCGGGGTAGCCGCCCATGCGGAGCGGCAGCGGCGCGGGAGGGTGCGGGGGCGGTCAGGATGGCGCTGGTGCCCCTGCGGCCCGGCAGAGCCGCCGGCCGCCTCCTGCCGGTGTTCTGCGGGGGGACCAGGAGCAAGGGAGCCTCGCTGAGCCCTGGGGTGCCGGGCCGCCTCGGCCAGCGGCGCTACAAGAAGGACGTGCTGCCCTCCCCCGAGGGACCTGCGCCCTCCGTCTCCATCACCGAGATCCGGCAGTACCTGCGGGCTCACGACATCCCTTTCCACGACGGGTACAGCTGCCTGCACACCCCCAGCCTCTTCACCGCCGGCCACGCGGATCAGCCGCCGCAGACAGCCGGCAGTGCCCCGTACACGCTTTTCATTGACAAGACCACGGGCAGCTTCCTGTGCACGGCCACCCTGGCCGAGGGCACCTGGCAGGACTTCCAGGCCAACGTGGAGCTGCGGCACCATGGTATTCCCCCCGCCAGCTCGGAGGAGATGGAGGAGGACATGCGTCAGGCTAGCGAAGATGCCCGCTGCATCTGGGACCGGGCTCTGCCGCTCTGGGAGCTGCTGGATGAGGAGGAGACCAACAAGACCAAGGCCATGTTTGGTATCTCCCTGGTGTCAAATGCCACCCTGAAACGCTTCGGGGTGCGTTATCTGAGGACTGCCAAGTCCCTGGTCTTCCCCTGGTTCAGCCCCCGCAATGCAACCCTGAAGGGCCTGAAGCTTGTGAGGGTGGAGAAAAAGGGGAACACAATATCTTACCTGGAAGAGACTTTACCCCGCATCGATTCCTATCACAATCTTTTTGGGCTGCCCCTGATCGGCTGCCGAGACACAGAGCTGGTCTTAACTGGGTGGGAGCTGGATGCTCTGGCCCTGCACCAAGCTGCAGGGGTGGCCAGCCTGGCCCTGCCACGGGGGACCACCTGCCTGCCTCCCACCCTCCTCCCCTACCTGGAGCAGTTCAAGCGCATCACCCTGTGGCTCGGTGAGGACCTGCGCTCCTGGGAAGCTGCCAAGCTCTTTGCCCGCAAGCTGAGCCTCAAGCGCTGCTCCCTGGTGCGCCCTGGGAACCTGCAGCCCCGGCCCTTGGAGGCTCTGAACCAGGGCCTGAACTTCACCAAGATCCTGCGTGCTGCCCTGCCCGCCAGCCACAAATCCATCATCTCCTTCCGGCAGCTGCGTGAGGAAGTGTTTGGGGAGCTAGCCAACACCGAGCAGGTGGCTGGCATCAAGTGGGCGCGCTTCCCTGAGCTCAACAAGCTCCTCAAAGGGCACCGCAAAGGGGAGCTTACCGTCTTCACAGGTAGGGGGCACAATGGCTGGTGAACAAGGGGAGCAGAAGGCTCTTTGGTGGCTTCACCCTTCTGGGGTTGAAGCCTCATGCGTCTTCCAAGTCTCTCTGCTCTTGGGTTTGGCTGAGCCTGTCTCACAGGAGTGTGAGAGGCTGGGGTGCATTCCTCAGTGTGGTGGGACTGGGCATGCCAATGTGGTGATGGGCTCCCTGCCTGGGGCAGCATAGGAAGTCCTGGACTGTCCCTTACGCCTGCTCCCGCCTACCACCTCCTGTCTGAGCCCTCCCTGTGCCCACCCCACCGGCTGCCCAGCCCTTCCCAGGGACCCACAGGCTGTGGGAGGCAATGCCCATGCACCCAGGCATGCAGTGTGGCATAAGACATTGTTTATTTATGGTGTGAGTACTGTGGACGGGCGTCTCTTATCCCACTCTGGTGCTTCCACCTCTCAACAGCCTGCCAGCACATTCAGGATGGGTAGGATCATCTCCCCAGCTAATTCCTCCTGTTCCTGTTCTTGCGCCAGGCCCAACGGGCAGTGGGAAGACCACCTTTATCAGTGAGTACGCGCTGGACCTGTGCATGCAGGGAGTGTGCACGCTGTGGGGCAGCTTTGAGATCAACAACGTCCGCCTAGCCAAGATCATGCTGACGCAGTTTGCGGGTCGGCGCCTGGAGGACCAGCTGGAGCTGTATGATGAGTGGGCCGATCGCTTTGAGGACCTCCCGCTCTACTTCATGACCTTCCATGGCCAGCAGAACATCAAGTATGGTCCTGCACTTCCATCCCCAGTGGCATTTACCCCTCACGGCATGTGCTGCAGGGCCTTTGGGAACTGGGGCTCTTCCCCCTTCAGTGAGTCACAGATTTGGGGCTGGCAGGAGGCATGTTGGGACTGTTCAAGTCCTGGAGTTGGCATGTGGGGACCTTATGGCTCAATCAGCTGCATTCCTCCTTTTGTGGGGACTGTCACAGCCTCCCTCTGGGGTGGGGGTGAAGGAAGGGGATGTGTCCCTGTGCTAGGACGTGACCCTCCACACCCTGCTCGCCTGGCAGCACTGTCCTTTGCTGAAGAGGTAGGACAGGCACCTCCAGCTCCTTCTATTCATCAGGTGCTGCGGCACCTGCACACATCCCCATGTGCTCTTAGGGTCCCTGTGGGCTGGGGGGATTGCAGGGCAGTGGGCAGGGGCTGTGTGGGCAGCAGCTGGGTCCTCCTGATCCCAACTGCCTTTACTTGTGTGGATGGAGCTGTACCTGTCCTGCAATGGGGAAGATGCAGAGGTGGGATGGGCTCAGTGCTCATCAGGACCCAGCCTGGTACCTCCCAGCTCTGTTTCTCTGTGTCTTTGTGCCTGGCTCAGCATCCCTATCCCCATCTCTGCTAATCCCTGGGGCTGATCCTGGTCTCCCCTGTCCAGGACGGTGATTGACACCATGCAGCATGCCGTCTACATGTACGACATCACCCACGTGATCATCGACAACCTCCAGTTCATGATGGGACAGGACCACCTCTCTGTGGACAGGTAGCCCTTCTCCAGTCTGACCTCTCATTCCTCTGCCACCCTCACTGCTGGAGCTGTCCCTGTCAGGTGTCATGATAGGGGCTGGGGACCCACTCAGGGTGTTTCCTTTACTACTGTCTGGCCACTCTGTTTCTTTAAAGGGTGATCACTGCCCTAGGGAGGAAGAGATGGGAAGGGATGAGCAGGTTACCAGTCATCCCTGCTGTGCCACATCCCTTTGCCTATGTGGGCTCGGCTGTCTCACAGAGAGTGATCCCACATTCCTGGGTGCTTCCTGCTGTGGGGATGAGGACCTTGCTGCACCCCGCCACCAAGCAGTGCCAGCCCCTAACCCTGTTCTTGCTGCTGTGGCAGGCTCATTGCCCAGGACTACGTTGTTGGTGCCTTCCGCAAGTTTGCCACGGACAACAACTGCCACATCACCCTGGTCATCCATCCCCGCAAGGAGGATGACGAGAAGGAGCTGCAGACAGCCTCCATCTTTGGCTCTGCCAAGGTAAACTGGGCCAGCGTGTTCCCAGGAGGGGCTGGGATACTTTGGGCAGTTGTTCCCGGCTTCCGTCAACATCCTGAGTCATCACTGGGGACTTGAAAAGAACTGAAAGGGATGGGATGTCCCCAGGAGTCCTCATGCAGACAGGGAGCAAACCCATTGCCAGCTAAAGCTCTGTTGGGGCTTTAGGTGGAGTTAATTAATAGTCATTGACTGTGAGTGGGATGTACTAGAAGATAATTAAAGGAGGCAGGGAGGGTGCAGGGATGAGCTCTCTGAGTACTCTGGTCTCTTCTGTGATGCTGAACAACCTGCAGTGGTGGGCAGGACGTGCTGTCTGTGCATGGCCCTCCTGTGTTCCCATTTCCCCAAGATGTCCTGTGGCTTCAGCTCAAGCCTGTCTGCCTTGTGGGTCACTGGGATGTCCCAGGGGAACACAAGGGGTTGATTTTGGGGAAGTGCTGGAGTTGCTGTGGCCTGGAGTACCCCATAACAGGGCTTGAAGGAGCTGGGCAGGCTGTCTGTGAGCAACTCTGAGCCCTGTGATTCTGGCTGTATCCCTGGCACTCTCCTGGAGATGTTTTTTTCTCCCCAGGCCAGCCAGGAGGCCGACAACGTCCTCATCCTGCAGGAGCGTAAGCTGACGTCAGGGCCAGGGAAGCGCTTCCTGCAGGTGTCCAAGAATCGCTTTGATGGGGATGTGGGCATCTTCCCTCTGGAGTTCAGCAAGGCCTCACTCACTTTCTCGTCCTCCAAAAGCAAGTCCAGGCTGAAGAAGGTGAAGGAGGAGAAGGAGCTTTTAGCCAAGAAAGCTCTGGAGGGAGGCGTAGGAGCCTCCAAGAAGCCATGAGCCCATCAGGTCTCGTCCTCTGTTTGTCTGGAGGGATGGGGACTAGTGCTGGCAGCACAGGGCTGGAGTATGCCAGCTCCTCTCCCTGGGAGCAGCAGCCACGTGCCACTGTGGCCCCTCTTCCTGCATGAACCAACCTCTTGGCCACCAGCACAGTGTCTCTGAGTACCACTGTGAGAGGAGGAGTGGGCTAATCCTAGAAAAGAGTGACCTGGGGAAGGTGCTTTGACAAACACTGGCTGCTCCATACTGGTGCTAAGTGCTGGGAGCATGGTGGGAATGGAGTCAGCCTAGGCTGGATGATGGTGGACATCACCTGTGGCCCAGGGACTTGGGTATCTCTGGACTTGTGAAAGTCATTACATTGTGGCTAAAATGGAGCCGAAATCATGAGTTGTTGCTAAGTGGGAGGGACTGAGGGGGGCAACTGTAGAGGGACACGTGCTGGAAAAACCTCCATCATGAGTGGGGTCTGAGGGCTCAGTCCTGGCTGGGATGGAGTCAGTGAGGGAAAGATGGTGAAGTGTGGGAGATTGTGGATGGCTCATGCCCTGGAATTGTGTGCTCTTGGTGGGACATGGTGGGAGTGGGTGCGATGTGGCGCTCTCCAGCTCTGCCCCCTCGGATGGCACCTGACCTGGCTCCCTTTGCTCAGGGTCTCCCAAGCCCCATTCTCCGGGCATCACCAGCAATAAAACCTTGCAGGGAGCAGCCCTGCCTTGCTCTGCTGCACTGGGGGAGCTGCCACCCCCCTGCCCTCTGGGCCGCAGGCAGCAAATACTGTGACCTGGCCAGTCCTTGCCTTGGTAGGATGAGTCCACAGCTGGATCTTGGTCTAATCCCTTCAATTTTTTTTCCCCTTCCTATTTTTATTAAAGAATAAATGTGAGTGCCTTTTCTGTCTCTGTGAGTGGAGGACCCTGGGGCTGGGAGGGGTACCCTGGGCAGGGGATGCCCCCCCGAGGACATCACCGCTGCACCCAGCATCCTGCCCCGGCTCTTGCACACAGGTTATTAGCAGCCTCCACGCTGGGCATAGTTTTAACCTGAGCCATAATGAGGGGCTGGAGCAGGCAGGCGGTACACACCCAGCCCCGGGTTTCCGGGGTGCACCTGCTCTCCCAGAGAGCACCCCTGGGTGCTGTCAGTGCAGGTGTGAACACCTGCAGGGCAGGCTGGGGGCAATGGTGGAGGATGGTCCTGGGGAAGTGGAGGTAAGACGGGAGAGCAGAGCTGGGTCAGGATTTGCATGGCAGTGTGGAGTGCGGGGTGTGTGTGGGTGTCCCTCCTCAACCCAAGGGCCCCCTCCAGCTCACTGGCCCCCTTTCTCCAGTCTTACTCAAGTCAGATGTCATGGGGCTCTGAAGTGGAAGTGAGGCAGTGGGGTAGCCCAGGACCCCCATCTCCCACCCATCCCTCCTTGGGGCTGGGAGTGGATGGAGGAGCTGAGCCTGTGGGGGGACCCTGAATGACTCTGGGCTCCAGAGGACAGGTGGGCACCCAGGACTCCCTGGGGTGAGTGAGTTGGTGAGGGTTTATTTCATTCTCATTTTTCTCCCAGTTTGGGTCTCTCCGAAAGGTTGGGGGGTGGCATTACCTTTAACATCTCATGGAGAGAGGGGGTGCGATGTCAAGTGGGGCAGAGCCCCCCACCCCCCTTAGCAGAGTGCTGAGCTCACCGAATAATTGGGGAAGAGTGAGAGGGGCATAAGCTCAAGGGTGACCTTCACCCCAAAGGCCTGGGGGTGCTTTGGAGGTGAAGAGCCCCGACTTGGGGGGCTTGGCTAGGGCAAAGGAGCAGATGAGCTCTGGGAATACCCCGGAACGGACGTGACTGGGGATGTCGCGGGGGAGGGTGGCCCTCGCGGGGGGTGCCCCACATACCCCACATACCCCACTGTCCCCTCGGCCCCTTCCCGCGGGGGGCGGGGCCTCGCCGGGGGGGCGGGGCCTGGCGAGGGGCGGGCCCGCGGCGGGGCGGGGCCTGTGCGGGGCGGGGCCGGGGGGACAGTGGGGTATGTGGGGTATGTGGGGCACCCCCCGCGAGGGC